TTAAGAAAACCTACTAATATTTTATTATTTACTCTTTTACGTTTCAAGATTTTATTTATTGCATGAAAAGTTTCACAACTAGATGTTCATAATTCATTGAAAACTATATAAATAAATAAATGAATAAAAGAATAGAAATATAAAATATATGAATAGATAAAGTTTAAAGCTTATCATGTGTATTCAAACAATTCTGCGTATGATTGTTGAAAAGTATAGTTGCATCATAGTAAAAGTAACATGTTGTAAAGTTATTTTCATGAATACACACTTTAATGTAGTACTTGAATTAAAAATCACAAATAATAATTTATTTATTCAAATGTGTGTCCTTTTTCTCTTTACTCTAAGGTTAGGACTTTTATACTTGATCGTTATCCTTTTATCGGACCTAAGAATTTTAGGATTTTATAAGATTTTTTACTTATCATCAAGTATATAATTTTGGCTAATAAAGATAAGATTTTTTTTGCCAAATATAAGTCTCAAGTCAAATTTGTGTCGACATTCGCTAGGGAGTTGGGTTAATCAGTCTATTATGAGTGTGATTGGTGAGGTACTTGGCTAGAATATCTTGGCCAAATCCTTTAAGCCAAATCCTCTCAATTAGAACCTCTCAATTAGAACCTCTCGACAAAAGTTTGGGAAGGCACACTTCCCCACCAATCTCAAGTATGAAAGTTGTAGAGGCTAAAAGCTCACTCTTGGTAAATGTTCAAGATACTTGGTCAGAACCTTTCAACTAAACCCTTTCAACCAAATTCTCTTGGTTAGACCCTTTCGACAAAAGGTTGAGAGGGTACACCTTTATATATACTATAAATAATATCATATAATTGCCTCAATAACATTTTAAACATGTTTGATTAAGATTAATTTTTCCATTTTAAACTTTTTTTAAGGAAAAGATGTTTGTAAAATAAACTGTATATTTAGTACAATAACTTATATTAGAGTTTGACAAACAAAGTAAGACCTTTAGGTGGCTCTTTACAAAATGAGAAAGTAATTAAAGATCTAACTCAAAGTAAGCTATGATAACAACAATGGATATAATAAGTGTTGTCTATGACCCTTTTGTGGATTAATAGAACAACTAAAAATCATTAGTGGGTGGAGATGAATAGTTCTAAAGAGAGAGAAAATTGAAATAAATGCAACGAAAAGAGTAATTGTGAAAAAGACAAATGATAATTTATGGTGGTGGAATGTTTTTGATAAAAATAAAAAAAGAGTATATTAGTTAAATGGATGAGTACAAATAACAATTTCCTTGATTTTATTCTCAACTTTAATTTTTATTAAATGACTATCTTGCATTTTAGTATTTTAAATGATTTTTTTTATAAAAGAGTATTTAGAGATTCTTTTAGTTTCTTATTAAAATTAATCTTTATTTATTATATTTATTTATAAAATAAAATTTAATAATTTTAAAATAAATTATCCATTCTTAAAAATAATAGTGTTACAATGTAAAATATTTATTATAAGTCTAAAATGTAATTTATATATTTAAAATATCTATTTATATAAGTTTTAAGTATAGTTTATATATTCAAATATGGTATTTATTATTGTGATTCATAAGAATTATGATGACGATATAGTTTGAACTTAAAACTCTGTCCATATTATCTTCAACTCCCATTATAACGACCCAACTTGGTCCCTACATTGTACGACACAACTACTAGTAGTGGAAAACATCTAACTTAAGACTATAGACATACAAATATTAGAGCATGTATTATACTACATGCATATAAAGGAAATCAACTAAAAAAATATGTGAAATATAAATACATTAATCCAGTAAATGTAAACTATATATCCTAAGTTGCTGGTTAAGCAACTAATACTACATATACACATCTACTCTCATTAGGTAGTCAATAAAACATCCTCCCGTTCTTGTACCACTAGTGGCATCCACAACAATACTTTAGCTTATCCTTACCTTGCTTTCATACCACGTATGATCATCACAATCCAAATCACATGAAAATATGTAAGGGTAAGCTAGAGTAAAAAGAAATTACATATATACAACATAGGGACATCACATTATCTTTTTATCTTCAAAAACACAATAATAAGGCATCATAATATACAACACAGATCAACACCAACAACTTATATTCAACACAACAACACATTTCATCAAAGATCAACATAGCATATGAACAACACAATCAACTCAACTCATCATATGCTTAACATAGCAATTATATGCGTCGTCACACATTTCAACTAAGAGATTTCTTATAACATAAGATGAAAAGTTTTAGTGGCTTGACTTTATCGAACCATCAACATAGGATGATCTTTTGGGCTTGTTAGATCAACAAAAAAATTGGATAAAAATCTACAACATAACAACTCGGTTTCTCGGATGTCGTCACTTAAACAAATAAGTATAACACTATTATCAGGGTAGAATTGAGTACGGGTCTACCACGATATTAGCTAGCTTAACTAAGTCTCCTATGGGATTAGCCCTCTGAATACCCTTCAAATACTACACCGTTTTGATACTCAGTTTGGAACTAAGTTCTCGACTTTGTACTTTATTTGATTGGTCACTTGTAATCAGTATAACTCAACTTAACCCCTATATTGTGGTCACTTCATACACGTGTGCCTCAACCTTACCCACACATGGTACCAACAATCCTAAAGGAGAAATAACACAATATCCATTTCAAGGGTCAACTTCCTTGGAAGGATTTTTAACAAATTGGACTCTCGAAACACCTTATCACAATATCCACACAATGGTATATACAACTTTCAAAAACCTCTTCTTTAATTCTAAGTGGTCAACACAATAAAGCTATATAAACACAACAATGAATTCATCATACAACTTTACATTTTATCACTCAATCATCACTACTCATGTTCAAGTTTTTAATCAACACATTTATTTCTCAACTAACAACTCACAAAAAAATCACCACATACTACTTTATCATTGCAAATCTTTTATCTTATTTTCATTAACAACTTAAAACAACAAGCATTCGAAACTTCATAAATTACATCATCCTATGTTTCTTAGGCAACTAGTGCCCAATGCCACACATTCAACACCTGACGCCATCTAGGCAAGGAGTTCTCTACCTCGCCCATTCCCAATGCTACATAACATGTGCTTGGCATGGCTGAGGTATAGGCCCCTGAGACCTCACGTCTGGCGTGGTAAACTACCACACCCAGCCCCACCTCGGTAGAGAGTCTTTGCTTGAGTCTCGCTCGGTGTCACCATCTCGATGCTCAATGAATTCCAAGTAGAGAGCTCTAGCTTGGGCACGCTAGGGGCCACTCAACTTTGGGTCTGATGTCACCAAGTCAAGGGGCTCTCAAGGTTCCCATGTCCAACGCCATTCAACCATCTCAATGCCGTTCCAGCCTAAGACAAGTCTCTTTTCTCATGTCCAACGTTACCAATTATGTGCCTGACGTGATCGAGACAAAGAGCCTCAAGTTAGAACAATGCTCAATGCCTTAAAGGCATGCACAATGTGACATCATAATTCTGCATTTACAGAACTTGGTTTTGAGCCACAAGTTGAAATATAAAAAAGTCCAACACATGCAACAAAGAACAATTCTACTTAACATAAAAACTCAAATTCAGCTCAAAAACTAACATGCAACAACAACACATAACAAATCATCATATTCTTCCTCATTGACCTTAAACATCTATCTTCACACAACTTTTCACCGTTTTAAATCAATCCAATCATAGTAGTTTGGAACCCAACAACATCTCAGCACCAAAATCATCCAACAACTCTAACATACAACAAGGAGAACAAAAATCTAGCTTCCCTTACCTTAGGTAACTTGGGTTCGAGGTAGAAGAAAAGAATGATTAAGGCTCCGCAATGAAATCAAATAATTGATTAAAGGTTTTCACCACTTGAATCATAACAACACAACTAAAAAAGATTAGAGAATAAGAGAAGAAGATTGAGAAAAAAAAAGCTTACAGATCAAAGACTTCCTCGCTAGAATCCTTTCTCTAGACTTTTAAGGAAAATGAGTTTATGAGATTCTATTCAAACATAAACCTTATATACTTTTTCATTCAGGGTCGAACTAGATCTTTGTCTAGAGAATACCCTTCTCAACACCATTGAGGTTCTCAAGAAATCTCCTAACCCCCAATCTCTTAACACTGATTAACAACTCACTCAATAACATAAAACAAATAGGAATAATATAATACTATCACAATCTTATAATGTTACACCCACTAAATATAGTATTTTTATGTATATATAATTTATTATTATAAATTTTAATTATATAATAAATAATTAGTTGTTCATTGTATAAATTAAAATACTTAAATCAACTCAAAATCACAAATTAAAATACAAATCTTTTAAATACCATTATTATACAAACATTAGTTTTTCATTGTATTCATCATTTTTTTTTATCGTAATGTCTAGATTTAAATATACAATTTTTTTATAATTTATTTTTCTTTATAACAAAAACACAATTTTTAAAGAAATTTAATAATTATAAAATTTAATATAAAATAATTTTTATTATTAATATTTATTTAAATTATGAACACACAAAAACATGCAGGCACACATATATAAAAACTATATACAAATATAAAAATATTACAAATATAATATTATTTGACATAAGCATTTATATAAGTTAAAATAATATAAATTGTTTAATTTATATTAATATTCATAATCATGTTATAATATTTTAATATAATATAATTTTTAATTTTAAATTCAAATAAAATATTTTTTAACATAATTTTTATAAATTTTAATTATATTTAAGTTTGCTAGACGATACAATCACTAGTTTCTGTAGTTTGCAAGTAGAGCTTAAGTCCCTTCTATTAAAAGAAAAGAAAGTATGGGCCTAACGGGCCCAGAGCCCATTAACCCCTTCGAAAAGCAAAAAGCAAAAAACCCTCATTTTTTTTTGTCTTTCTTAAAACTCAGTTATTACATGCCTTGGGAATCTAGATAACACAGCGTTTCACTCTATTCCCCACTCTCGCTAGGGTTTCACTACTCCTTTCTCCCCATTTACCCCTCGATTTCTTGAATCCTCATCCGCGAGTCTCGATTTCCTTCTCTGCAACCGGTGCGTGAAAAGTTGACGAAAGAAATAAAAAACAATTTCAATTGATTTTATTGTTGTTTGGATGAGTGAATGTTCGATTGTTGATGGTTGCAGAATTGGTCGCTTGTGAAGGAGGAACATGTATTCACGAGGGAGCGGCGGTTATGGCCAATCGTACACGGGTCAATCCGCATATGGCCAGAACATAAACGTAAGCGTTGATTTGAAAATTTTCAACCCTTCTCTGTTTCGTATAACTCAACGTTTCTCTTAAGAAAAACACCTTTTTTCTGTCCTTAATGAATATTCTTCTGATTTTATTATTAAAGCGTGGAATTTCAATATTTGCAATTACTGGTAGCATTACAAATTCTCATATTTCAGTACTTGCATCCCCTTCCCATGTAGAAGTTTTTTTTTGTTTTTTTTTTTTTGTTTCATAATTTTGTGATTTTTAAATATGGAATTAAATAGTTTGGTCGACTATGGTGTTGATTTGGGTTTTGTGGTTGCAGCTGGGTGCTAATTATTCTGGAAGTTCCGTTGGGGGACATGAAGTGGGTCAACATTCCGTGGCTTCTAGGCATTCAACAATATTAGGTGGTTCCCAGGAAGGTGAAGTTGGTGGGTATAGGGCTCATACCTCCACTGCTGCACAATATGGGGGGCAGTATAGTTCTGTTTATGGCTCAGCTGCTCTGAGCAGTGCACAGCAGGTCAGTGGGGTGCGAGATATTGACCAACATTTTATCCCAAATATAAAGATATGTTATTGGTGAACAGAAAGTTTGCATGCAATTTGATGTGAAAGTTGTTGGGTTCAAGCACCTGTATTTTTGGATTAGCCATTTGGTTATTGTGTACGATGTTAATGTTAATAAATAACTATTCCAGCACTTGGGAAACATGGGCCCTTGTTAATGAATATGATTAATGTGCTAATTATTCGTCATTCAAGGTATTGAATGTAAGGATAGGCAACTAATTGTGTCTTGAATTCACATTATCTCTATTTCTGTTAGAACTGCTTGTTCTTTTATCCTGTCTTCTTGACCTTGATTCCCCATATTATATTCTATTAATGTATTTGGAGAATTGATTGCTTTTCTTGTTTTTGAACTTTTGTATAGATCCCTTCATTGGGTACCAAGGGTTCTGCTGCAACAGCTTTAGATGGTCGTGGAAGTTATGCTTTGGGTGTATCTGATTCACCTAAGTTTGCTTCTGGAGATTATGTCTCATCCTCAAGCCATGGATATGGTCACAAATCTGACCAATTGTATGGTGACAAGGGTTTGGAGTATTCTGCAATAGACAGGAGGCAATATGGTGATCGACAGAGTGGTTACATTGGTAGGGACTTAACGAGTGATCCAACCGGAAGATATGCTGCTGATCCTGTTGGATTTAGTCATCAACGTCAGGTGTATATTTGCTCCTAGAAGATATTGTGGTGGCTGTCTTAGTTTCTCTGAGTATCTGTTTGCAAAATAAAAGGAAGAAAATTACCACTCTTGCATGATTTATTATTATTATTATTATTTTTTTTTATAATGTAATCATATTGCATTTGTTTTATGTTCAGCAATCAGAACTATATGACCGCATTGATCAGGCAGCTTTGCTACGACAAGAGCAATTGCTCAAAGCTCAGTCTCTGCAAGCTGCATCACTTGATGGGGGTGCTAGGTATTTTATTTTATTTCTGAAAGAATGTTCAGTATATGTTTCTCTCTTTCTTCTTTGTTAATCCAAATCAACTTTTTTAATGAATATAGTAGATGTATTCATTGTGGTGGTAATATGTAAAACACTTGAGTTGTCTTTTGTATTTCTGATGAAACTTGTGGCAGAAGTTGATCAGCAGTGCCTAACTATATTAAATGGTAATAATATTTCTCCCTACACTAAGTAGCAACACGTTTCTGGCAGACAAGCTGATTATCTTGCAGCAAGGGCTGCTGCTAGTCGTCATCCTACACAAGATCTTGTGTCTTATGGAGGAAGGATGGATTCTGATCCTCGTGGTTCATCCTTGCTAAGTGCTACTTCGTATAGTGGACAACATGCGCCATCAATATTAGGAGCAGCTCCAAGGAGAAATGTGGATGATCTCTTGTATTCTCAGAGTGCTTCAAATCCTGGTTATGGAGTGAGCCTACCTCCTGGTAGGGACTATGCTAGTGGAAAAGGTATTCATGGGAGTGCCATGGAGTTGGACTACCCAGGAAATGTGTTGTCACATGCTGCACATACTGCACATACTGCACATACTGATCGCAAGGATGATCGCGTTTCTGGCAGACAAGCTGATTATCTTGCAGCAAGGGCTGCTGCTAGTCGTCATCCTACACAAGATCTTGTGTCTTATGGAGGAAGGATGGATTCTGATCCTCGTGGTTCATCCTTGCTAAGTGCTACTTCGTATAGTGGACAACATGCGCCATCAATATTAGGAGCAGCTCCAAGGAGAAATGTGGATGATCTCTTGTATTCTCAGAGTGCTTCAAATCCTGGTTATGGAGTGAGCCTACCTCCTGGTAGGGACTATGCTAGTGGAAAAGGTATTCATGGGAGTGCCATGGAGTTGGACTACCCAGGAAATGTGTTGTCACATGCTGCACATACTGCACATACTGCACATACTGATCGCAAGGATGATCGAGCAAGCTATCTACGAGAATTTGAGCTAAGGGAAGAAGAGCGTCGCCGGGAGCGCTTGCGTGAGAGAGATAGGGACAGAGAAAAGGAGAAAGAACGAGAACGATTGCGTGAACGGGAACGAGAAAGGGAACGGGAAAGGGAACGCATTTTGGAGCGGCGTGAGAAGGAGAGGGAGCGAGAGCGCAAACGTGCACTTGAAACTAGGCATGAGCGAACTCCAGCGAGATCCTCAAAGGATCCCCGTGGTACTTCTAAAGGTCCTCGTGCGTCATCTTTGACAAAGGAGGGGAGATCTTCACGACGGGATTCCCCACATCATGGTGCTTTACATAGGTGGATCTAAATGAATTTTCTATTTCTAAACCCTAATCTGGTTCTCAATATCTAGCTGCTTGTATATCTTGCAGCCTTTTGTAACTAACTTAATGTTCTGTTATGCTGAAGGCACCATTCACCTGTTAAAGAAAAACGGAGAGAATATGTCTGCAAGGTAAAAGGAAATAAGAACTTAGTATTAGTTGCTCCATCATTATAAGAATATTCCTTGTGAAGGAGCTAGTTGTGCTGCTGTTTTTCCTCTGGAGATCTGTGGATAGTGGGGTGATTAGACTTTGTATTTCCTGTAATAACTAATAATTTTACTCTTTATCCTTTTGTTGGTTTTGTTCTATCTTATTCCACCCCTAATCTCAACCTGGTCATGTGATTTGAGTCAATGATGATGGGACATTTCAGTTGCCTTTGTTTCCTTTTGTCTTTTACAGTCGGTTCATTTTGGGTTTGCATCCTCAGGGTAACTTGTATTCTTTTGGGCCATAAATTCTTCCCTGTTCCATTTGTCCAATCCTTATAGTTTCTTCTTCCATCCGGTGGTTCTTGGCTTCTTTTTTCTTCCTTCTATTGTTTCCCACTCACCGCTGTTTCTTATTTTGGGATGTGTTTCTAATAGCGGATCAGGATATGAATCAAGTGCAGAGGGGAAAAATAGGTTTTCTAGATTTTTCCTATTCTTATTGATGCTGCATTGCAATTCTAGTCCACATTTCTGCAACGAATGTGAATTGATTTCTTGAAATTGAGACCTGATTCATGGTTTCATATGGTTTATATTGTAGCATGATTTCTGAAATCAGATTAATTGAATTTTACATCTTCTAAACTGCATGAACAGGTATACCCATCCCGCTTGATAGATATTGAGAGGGATTACCTCTTAATAGATAAGCGATACCCCCGACTCTTCGTCTCTCCTGAATTCTCCAAGGTACATTTATACTATTAATGCTTGTTAAGAATTATTTTTGAGGAAATATATGCTTTATTATTTGTTTCTCAAAAAGCTGTCAGAAACTTTTTGGTTAAAAGCTTTTTTAAATACAAAATTAGCTAATCCAAAGTTATATATTTTGCTTCTTTGACGACAAGGCCTTGATATTGATTTGAAACCATCTTGTAAAATTTTTTAGGCTGTTGTGAACTGGCCAAAGGAAAACCTTAAACTGTCTATCAATACTCCTGTCAGGTACCTCTATCTTCATCTGTGTTACATCAGTTACATAATTCCAAATTATTTTCATGTGCTTCTAAAGTGTTTTAGATAGAGAATTTCATTTTCTATATTTTCACCTTATAAAAAATATGAAGAATTTAATTGACACTTTAATTTTTTTCTTTCTTTATGTAGTCTGGCTATGTTGAACACTTGGCATACTTGCCAGGTGTTTGCCCAATTTGATTTTAAGAGGAAAATTTATTTGGGTTGGACTCCTTTCAAAATTAGTTTGGATGTTTGTGGTTACTTTTACATTATATTTGATTTCAAAAAATGAATTTGGTTTCTTACTTTAACACTTAGAAAATGATACAGTTCTTTGTTTTTGTTTTTAATATTTTGTCCTCTTTTGAGCCCTGTCTTCAATTATTTCTGGATTTCCTTGCATATGGAATGAGAATACTTGTTGCATCTGAGAAATTAAAAAGAAAATCAATAATGTTTTTGAGCAGTTTTGAGCATGATTTTGTTGAAGAAGAAATTGCCACTGAGCCTAGAGACTCATCCAACAAGCTTTTGGTGGGACAACCTCTGAATTCTGAACAAGGAAACACAGTTTGGAATGCCAAAGTAGGTTAAATGTTGATGTTTGTAATCATCGCATTTCTCTTTATTTTAAATCATGCATTGAATTGAATTAAATGATGTTTAATATGTTTTGTTATTTGATGGACCATGCATTTCTGTTTTACTTTTGTACTTCATTTTGGAGCATTTGTTTAATATCATCAGTAGGTTTTGGCATCCTGAATTTTGTTGTTAGTTACTTAGAGGACTCATAAGTGTGTTATACAAATAATTGATTTTGAGGATGGTGATTTTTAACTGCTAAAATTTTATGAATATGTTTGGTTCTATGAAATGGGTTTGTGTTGTTGCTTAGCCTGGGTTCAGTAACCTTGTGTTTTAACCATATTAATCCCTGTTAGGATGTGCAATTAACAATATATTTTTAGATAAGAGTTGGACATAATGATATGAAGGCCACAGTTTAGTTTGTATAAACATGTATATGTTCTGATTACACTTGCTAGGTTTCAAGAACCATTCTCTAATTGGTTGTGCTGACTAAAGTTCTAAACTTTTTTATTTATTTTTTATTTTAGATTTGAAATGCCGTGTAAGGTGGTTGGTCATTATTTCCCTAAAATTATTGGAAGGCAATTATTATGCATTGCAATAAAAAAACTTAGTTGTTGCTTACTGGCATATCTTTGGGATGCCAGATGATTGGATAGATTCCAAATATATTTTTAAAATTGCAATATCCTGATTTTATAGACTCTGTTCATTCAACTTTGTCCTCTATATAGAATTAATTAATCCATTGCAGTTTTTGCTAATATCCTTAGGCTTGAATTCCTGCTTTCATTATGCCCCTCAGCCCTATTGTTTAATGTACTTCTGAATTTAGGCTTTGAAGCATCAAGATACGTGGTAACTGTGTTTTAGTTTAATGTGCTTTTGAAGATTACTTTAATGTCAGAACAGGTTGTCTTCGGTCTCAAAATCCACGGCAACTTCAAAATCTTCACTTGTGAAAATATATAACGCTGCTACTTTTCTAGATTTAAATAAAAATATTCTGAAACTAAGTCACAGTGGCTCATGTCCTGATACCCTTTTTTTCCTTTCAAAAAGACGGTTGTAGACAAGGATCCATTTTAAAGAATTCACTTCACTAGATAGGTTTATGGAAAGTTGTTGCTGAAAGGGTCCAACAATGCCACTTTGAGCCTTATTTCGTTGGTTTAGGTTGGCTACATCGGCATTTGGCCCAATTAAAGACCAAATCTTTTGAGATATTTTTTTTTATCATGAAACACCTGTTATCAACTTTTCCTAATCCCTCTCCCCCTTATCACACAGGACTAAAAACCGTGCAATATTTTCTCCTCACTGGTGCCACCAGTGACCTTTTTGTGCTTGTTTATTACTGTTGTATGTTTGGTTCACTGTATGATGTAGTGTGTTTGGTTCCTCATCACATCAACATTGATCCATGTTCAACCCAAGTAATAGTAGCTTCCACATGTCCACACAGTTTTGATGTGGTCTTTTTTATATAAATGTACAATCCTTAACATAATATCAAACACACTTGCAATCTTTTTATATGAAATGTTATATTCTAGTGAAGATTTTTGGTGTTTTTACTGTTTGATAACTTTTGTTTGGTCTCCTTTTTTCAGATAATCTTGATGAATGGACTTAGTAGGTCTGCATTGGAGGAGCTGTCATCTGATAAAATTGTTGATGATCGCATTCCTCATATTTGCAATTTCCTTAGATTTGCGGTTCTTAAGAAGGACCATTCTTTCATGGCAGTTGGTGGTCCATGGCAACCTGTTGATGGCAGTGATCCATCTATCGACAATAATTCTTTAATCAAAACTGCCCTCAGGTTCTTGCTTATGATATGATTATTGGTGTGAATACTTATACTTTCCACCACAAGACTAGTGAATGTTTTACCTAATTTGCAGATATGCAAATGATGTTATTCAACTTGACTTGCAGAATTGTCAAAACTGGAACCGTTTTCTCGAGGTATTAGTTTTTTTTTTTTTTTTTTTACTATTTACTGATTTTTCATCTAACTTATTTTCTTTCTTTTAGCTTTTTGTTTAAACCACCTACAGAAATCTTTTTAAAATGGTCATCTTTAGTATTCTTTTTAGCATATACATGTTCATTAGAAATTGCACCAAATTGAGTTGTATTCTTTTGTTGTTTGTGTTTGGTATATCTTGTCTTTAAGAGCAACAGGCTTTTTACATTCTTTTGGTTTAATATGCCTTGTCATACTTAGTTATTATGATTATGGTTATATCTTTTGGTTGCATTTAAAAATATTATTTTTCTCTCGAGAAGTCTAGTTACTGAAAGCTGAAAATTTTCCCAGATACATTATGATAGAATTGGCAAAGATGGTTTCTTTAGCCATAAGGAAATTACTGTTCTTTATGTCCCTGATTTGTCTGACTGCCTCCCTTCGTTGGATGAATGGCGTGACAAGTGGCTTGCCCACAAGAAAGTTGTAGCTGAAAGAGAACATCAACTTTCTTTGAAAAAAGAGGTCTGTTTTTGCTATGTGCATGGTTTATTAGTTGGATTGAATTTTTGAAGTAAATTGTTTTCCATATTTTTTGTGTTATGATATATACATTTTTTTGTAATATTTCAGAAATCAAGAGATAACAAGGAAGTATCTAAAGGTTTGCAGATTCCTCCTACCTTCACTTTCCTGTGCATGGCATCAGATCTTTTTGGTGCCACTCAAATTTTATATATAACTAGTTGTGATTGGTTTTCCTTTTTAATTATAATATAGATAAATCAGATAAAAGGAAAGATTTAGCTCCATCAGGACAGTCAGATGTTAAGAAAAAAGACAAAGATAGCAATAAGGAAGAAATTGAAGGAAAGACTGAAGTTAATAACAATAAAATTGCTGTCATTGAAGGTTCTGACATTGGTGAAGAAGTCAAGAGTGCGGAGAAAAAGCAGGGGGAAACTGCCATTGGTCAAACAACAGGTGTCGTGAAGTCTGTGAAAAAGAAGATTATAAAGAAAGTTGTGAAACAGAAAGTTTCCACCAAGGCAAATGCTACTGTCACCAAACAAACAGACAAATCAGGTGAAAAGGATGTCACTGAGAAAGTGACAACATCCACTGTTACTGATCAGGGTGGAAAATCTTCTGCGGATCCTACTGAGGTTCAGACTCCTGTAAAAAACGTAGTTGCTGATGATATGTCTATTGGGAAAACTGGTGGTGAAGAGGGGAAAGATAAGGAAGTAAATAATTGTGAAGATAAATCTCAAACAAAGCCAGATGCAACAGTAAATGCAGTTTCAAGTGATCCTGTTGTGAAAACGACAAAGAAGAAGAAAATTATTAAGCGGGTGCCTAAAAAGAAGGTGGTGGGTGAGGCTTCTAAACCTCTAGTTCCTGAACCAAAAAAGGATGAAGGGAATCAAGCACAAGATGGTACCCTGAGCTCTGGCAAGCAGACTGCAGATGCAGATGCAGATGCAAATACTATAATGACCGAGGTGAAGAAACCTGTGAAGGTAGTTGCAAAGAAAAAGTTAAAATCTCCTGCCTCTAAGAAGCAAGATGAAACTGTGGATCCGAATAAAACAGAAATGATGTCCAACAAAAAGGATGAAGGGAATGTTGGGGCAATTCAAGCACAAGAGGGCACCCAGAGCACTGGCAAGCAGACTGCAAATGCAGATACCATAACGATGACAGAGGTGAAGAAAACTGGGAAGGTTGTACCTAAAAAACAATCTAAGGCCCCCACTTCTGAAACAAAGTCTGACAAAGATGACAAGAAGGAAGAAAAAGTTACAGGTGAAAAAAGTGGGGCAAAGACAGATAAGCAGAAAGCCTCTGATAATAAATATGTTAACAATGTAAAAGGGAAAGTGAAAGATGGGGACAAGTCTAAAGATGAGAAAGTAACCAAGAGGAAGTCTGATGAACCTCCTCGACACCCTGGATTTATTCTTCAAACAAAATCAACTAAAGATTCTAAAGTATGGTATCATTATTTTGACTATAAGTGTGTTCCATTGTTACATTTAATATGTTATGTACTTCTTATAATTTGTGATCTCTGGTACAGATACGTTCTTTGTCACTGTCACTGGATTCATTGCTGGATTACACAGATAAAGATGTTGAAGAATCAACTCTTGAGGTCTGCTTATTATATGATTATATCTTTCCCTTCTAACAGTATTTTTTTTCACTGAATTATGTACTCATGGGACTCTTTCTGATTCCAAAGTGGATGTTGCTTGTTTCTGGATGATTGGTTTTGCAGCTTTCATTGTTTGCCGAATCATTTTATGAAATGCTGCAGTTTCAAATGGGTTGTAGAATTTTGACTTTTCTTCAGGTTGGTTAGCTCTCTTTTATTATATAGCTTATATTCGACTTGATTCTTCTGAGGCAGTTTTCTACAATTTTGTTTTCCATTTTTATCTTCAGAAACTGCGCATGAGATTTGTGAACAAAAGAAATCAGAGAAAGAGGCAGCGGGAAGATGAAAATGAAAAGGAAGATGCAACCAAATCTCCTGTGAAGCGTCAAAAGGGAGATGATCAAAAGGGAGATGATCCTTCTGTGAAGAATGAGACCACAAATATGGACACATCAAATCCAACCCAAGTAGATGATGAGAAAACTGTTGTTGAGAATAACAACTCTAGTGATAAGGGGGATGATGTGAAGATGGAAGATGGAACAGATGAGGAAGAAGATCCAGAGGAGGACCCTGAAGAGTATGAGGAAATGGAAAATGGTTGTCCCCAGAATGATGCATCAAATGATAAAAATGGTGAGCAAGAGGCGAATGCAAATACTGAATCTGAAAATATTACTAGCAATGAGAAAGCAGCAGATGAAGCTTCTAAAGGGGAGATTAAGGTTAAAGATGAGGTGCATGAATCCAAGGCCGATGAACAGGTAAAAGAAGAAAAGGAAGGAAAAGAAGACAGTAAGAAAGAAACTCCTGCTGTTAAGGAGGTTGCCGTGGACAGAGAATTGTTGAAGGTATTTTCTTGTACACTATGTAACACATGGTTATATTACTGTTATTTTATCATTTATATATAAACTGTCTACATTTGGCTATGAATATAATTTTGTATCTCATTCATGATAGGCTTTCCGGTTTTTTGATCGTAATCGTGTTGGGTACATCAGGGTATGCACCACTGTCTTTATTTGGTTTGTTTGAAGCCTTTCTTCCTCAATAATGATGAAAAATATTTGTTTCTTTTCAGGTTGAAGATATGAGATTGGTTATGCATAATCTGGGGATGTTCCTTTCCCACAGGGATGTCAAGGTGATAAAATCTTTGAAGCTTGTTGATGTTATGTTATCGTCTACAATTTGTTTAAGCATGTTAGTCTTGTGCATCCCATGATCTTTAATAACCTGCATTCTAACTTATTCTTCAAAAACAGGAACTAGTGCAAAGTGCATTGTTGGAGAGCAACACTGGGAGGGACGACCGAATTCTTTATAATAAGCTAGTGCGGATGAACGATATTTGATGCCCTTTTGTGTCTTTGGAATAATGATAGATGCTTTAGTAATTATAGTTGGACAGGTTTTGATTTTGTTTTATTTAGTTGTGGAAAGGGCAGGTGGTCTTTCGTTTTAGTGAGGGTAAAACCTTGGCATTTACAGAAAACAAAGTTGCGCCGGATCATATTTTCATGTTTAAGAGAAAAGTAATTTTCTGACTTTTTTTTTAAGACTCGTCTGTATAACTTTTTCTATGTTATGTAAGGCCTATCAGTTTTCATTTTTTGTTTGGTGTATTATTTAATTACAATTTTAGTGATATTGTTGTTTCCTTATATTCCACACCCAAACAAGACTGCATATGTATGTACGATTTGCATCTGTAACTAAGTAACTTTGCATTTTAATTTTTTTTTTAATTTATTTTCCTTCCACTTTTCATGGTTATTTCTACTAATGCGAATCGCGTTACGCATCTGTTAGAGGGAATACGAAAATTGAGTATACTAATAGGTTATTTATGCATTGCATAGGTGAATTTTGTAAAAATTATAAAAATCAAATTTAAATAATAATTGAATATAATTAAATTGATGGGTGATTATTTTAATGATATCAGTAAAAAAATAAGTATATACAAATTATAAATGCCCAATACTTGCAGTAAAAAGAATGCCATATTTAATGTTGAATGAAGAAATGTAAGTATTGAGTACATATTTATAGGCTAACTATAAAATATAAGACTATTTATGAAAAAAATTATTAAATGAAAATGAGGTATATTATTAAGAATAAGGAGTGTATACACCAAAAGTAGAAGTGTATATAACTTGATCAACTTACTTATTGATCCAATCTACTCGAACTAAATTGAAGAGAAAATTTTGAGTTAGTTTAGTGGTCATACTACTGTCCCAAATCAACCAATTCCTATCAGAGTTGATCCTGATGGCATAAGGTCTACATCTGGTGCTGCATTCTACCTATGCCTAATAGCTAGTCTCTTGGTAGTCAAGGAAACAAGTTATCTCCAGATGAGTACAAAAGCCTATAGCAATTGATATTCTATGGATACAAACTCTACTCAAGGAACTCCCTGTTCCTCTACTTCTCTGTGATAATCTCAATGTTGTGATTCTCACTCACAATCCTGTCCTCCATGCACAAACAAAAGCACATGTAGCTTCATGTTTTCTTTGTTCCAGAAAAAGTTGTTGCTAAACAACTTGTGGTACAACATATCCCAGCACATGATCAATGGGCTTGGCACCTACCAAATTTTTCTTAAATACTATACATAAACAAAGACTTGACATTCATCGTATGTTTCTTCATCTTCATAACAAAGATAGATTACATTTCTCTCCACATATACTTATCTAATTTTTATGTTATGTGATTCTATCCTTAAAAGATATAAAATATAAATTAAAGAACTATAAAAAGATTCAAATATAAAAATTGCCTAATACCATAAAATTTCTAAACAAATGTAAGTAGTACCTCTCACAATACCCAATAGAGTATGATTAATAATTTTGAAAGTAATATAAGAAAAAGGTCATAAATTGAATTACAGGGCAGTGGTTGGGAAGTAGATGGAAGCAATTTAAGTAATATGATCTAAATAATATAGTACGAGTCTACAGAATACGATCTAAATAATTAAACCAGCTTCATTTTTCAAAACTAAATGCTTAACTTATATAAAATTAATTCGATTTAATTCGTTTCAGGATACACAAAGTACATTTGATTGAATATTTAATATTTTTTTAAAAAATAAATTGTCAATAATTAAAAAATATTGTATCACAATATAAATGATTTATTTTAAATCCAAAACATAGTGAATAAGAAATGAGAAAAAGTCTTGATCTTTTTCAAGGTTTCTCAAATCTTAGTCTTTATGTAATCAATTTACAACGTGTAAAATGGTTTTTTAGAATAAATATGAAATTTTTGTTTTAATTGACATGCATGGACGATTATTATTTGTTTATAACTTTTTGTGATGTTGGTTGTTTGTTTGGCCGTACACTGTTTCATTTACTTTCAATAAGGAAACCTTACTCACTCACTATTTTCACTACACTAAAATTAATTTTTTGTGATAATTAATTTATTATTTAGCGATACTGGTAAAGATCTATTAAATTATCGAAAAAATTTATTTTTTTAGTGGCAATTCTAGTAGCCATTTTAAAGGCTATTAAAAGTTATTTTTTTCCAATTGTCTCCTTTATTTTAAATAATTTATTCCTATAATTTCCTTTTCTAAATCCATAACTTATATTTTTTTTTATCTCTACTCGATGTGGGATTTGTAAGATGAGAGTTATTTTTTATTTATATATTTTTTAATTTATTTTTTTAATTATTTTGTCTCTTAAGAAATGTGAGATTTATAAGGTGGAATTTGCTCTCTAATTGTTTTATAACACTATTGAATTTGGTAATAATGGGTGATTTGATACCAATTTAGAATAGTAAATTAGGAGTCAACCGTATAAAATGAACCTGTAAGGTAATAGTTATTACTCACTTATATACTATTTAATTATCTTATCTCTAATCGATATGAGACTTAAGTTTTTTCTAATAAATAATTATCGTTAATAGTAAACTTTAGTGTAATATAAATGCATTTTTAGTGACTATTATATATTAGCCATTAATATTTTTTATATATGACGGTAATTAAATTATTACCATTAAATAATTGTCGTTAATAACAAATTTTATTGTAGTGTAAAAAAAATAACATTAATTAATACAAAATAAAATTTAAAATAATATATTATATTATTATAATGTTATCAACATAAAACACAAAACTTGTTACTAAATAAGAGTGACAATGAGTATTGTCTGGAGCAAATGATCATTCAAACATTATTATTATTATTATTATTATTATTATTATTATTGGGTTGGCTGGGTCGAATTGGTAATTGGTCTCGGCCTGTAAAATATTGGATTTTGATCGAGTTGGGTTGGATCTAATTCAAATACTGAAAAAATTTGATCCAAAATTAGATCCGAACTTATTAAGTTGATCTGGATCAGTTCGAATTTGCAGGTTATCCGTACCCGCTTACATCTCTAAATAAACTGGTTTAGCCATTAACTTTAGCCCCCACAATAACCAGTGTCAATCAATCGATGCTAAATCATTTTTTTATTCTTTCATTTTGTTCCTACCTTTTGAAGTTGCTAGAAAGCAGGAAGGCTATGAAGTCAAGGTTATAATATTGTGAAATTTTCTTTTTAATGATAATGATGTCTCTTAATTATCAAAGGTTGACTAGTATAGTAATTTTTTAGTGTATGAATGTGTATGTGCATACGTGAATATGTAATTATCAAAAGTTGATCAATTTAGTAGTTATCAAAGGGTAATCAATTTTGGAATTTTTTGTGTTTACGTAGATTAGGTATGAGTTTCGTCACAAGCGGAATGATATTTACTGTTTGCGGGCGGGTAAAGATACTTCAAAATTCATTGCAAAGAAACAAAGAGAAGAAGAGATGTAGTAGTGGTGGGTAAGAGATGAGAGAAAAAAGAAGATGAAAAGAGGGAAAGTAACTGAGAAAAATCACCTCAGTGACCAAGTATGATGATTCACTATCTCTTTTAATTAATAGAAATTACAATAATAAGAATAAAATTTATATATATATATATATATATATATAT